TATCAGATTTTAAAAGACCCCTTCTATTCATTATTTGCCAGGAGTTCACACCATGAATAGAATTTGAAAAGTATGGAATATTTCCTTTTCACGTATTGGGATGCTCATATAGTTTTTCTATTTAAAACTAATAATGTGATGAATTACATTGATTTTTTTAATGTTAATAATCTTACGTTCTTGGAACAAACCAAATTTTGCTACAGTGTATTCACTTTTGTATATGTTGTTGGATTCTATTGGCTAAGATATTTTAAATTTTTTAAAATATATTTATTGATTTCAGAGAGAGAGAGAAACATTGATTGGATCCCTCCCATTGATTGGTGCCCATCCAGAGATCAAACCTGCAACCTAGGGATGTATCCAGACCCAAAATGGAACCCGCAACCTTTTCGTGTGTGGAATGAGGCTCCAACCAACTGGGCCACATGAGCTGGGGCTTGACTAAAAGTTTTTTCTGATATTTACACCCATAATTCAGAGGAAGATTGTCCTCGAATTTTCCATTCTCCTATTGTCCTTGGTTGTTTTGGCATTAAGCCTATATTAACCTCATAGATTTTGTGGGTACTGTTTCTTTTTTTTTTTCTTTTCTTATTCTCAGAGAGTAGGTATTACACTCTTATGTGTAATTTCTTTTTTAAGATTTTATTTATTTATTTTTAGAGACAGGAAGGGAGAGAGAGAATCATCAATGTGTGAGATAAACATCCACCAGTTGCCTCTCACACACCCGCAACTAGGGACCTGGTCCACAACCCAGGCATGTGCCCTGACTAGGAATCGAACCAGCGACCTTTTGGTTCTCAGGCTGGCACTCGATCCACTGAGCCACACCAGCCAGGGCCAATTTCTTGAATGTTTAGCAGAAGTCAACTGTAAAGTTGTGAATGCTGTCATTACAGAGAAATTTAAAATACCACTCAGCTTCTTTGATGATTTCCTATGTCATCTTAAGTCAGTTTTAATCATTTGCATTTTTCTAAGAAACTCGCCGTTTGGTCTAATATTTATTTTTAAGTCTCGCTTCCTAGGCCTCACCCCTGAGTCAGCATAGCTTAATGACCAGCCAAAGGTTGGTAAGAACTTTCCATCAAACATTTTGAGCCAGTGGCTTCCACCTGTGCCAAGAGAATCTCTGTCTGTGCTGGAGCACACGAAGTTCAGGCAGGTTACAAGTCAGCCTTTTACTTTCTGATTCACAAGGCCTCGTGATCAGCCAGGGACCTGGAGTTGGCAGCCTCTCCTGCATGTGTAAGTAGCCCTTAGTGTGTACACTCTTTGAGATCCCCAAGAATATGTTGGCAGTTTCTCAAAGCCCCCTACAGCTATTTTGTGCCCTACATCTCTTGTTTAATTACTGGACTGGTCTCTCATTTGCCCCAGGCAGCACTGTAGTCTTAGGTGACTGGGACGTCGGCCTTTCCAAACCGTTTAGCACCCATTGATATCACTGTCAACATCCCCCCTCACCATGCTTTTCTGCAGCGCTCCAAGTCAGGTCAGGCCCAGCAACGAGGCTGCCAGCTTTCACGGTTTCCATCGCATCTGGAAAGGAGGAGAGGGACTTGGGAGCCATTTAGAGATGAAATGCCGTCGACATCACTGTTATGACCAAGGTTCAGGAGTTTTTCTTGAATACATGCCTTTCAATTTGGTACGTGCCTTTAGTTCACTTCCAGAGTGCTGAAATGGTTGCATTTGATAGTTTTGCCAGTCTCACCACTGCTTTCTTTGAGGTGAGGTCTTCCCTCCGTCACTTCCCCTCTACGTTCCTCACTGCTTCTCACAGTGCTCATGGAGTAAATCCACTAGCAATTGTTTCAGAAAGGATCTGCGAGTGACAAAATCTTTTTAAAATTTCTTTTTCTTATGAGCCCAGTTAAAATTATGTTTAGGATTTATAGTGTTTCTTCACCTTTGACAAATATGATTCAGCTATTCCAGAAAATGTTTAGTCATTATATCTTCAAATACTATTTCTACCTCATTCTTTCCACCTGGAGACTCTACTAAACATATGTTGACTATTCTGATTCTATTGTCTGTGTCTCCTTTTTTCCATATTTTTTTTATCATTTCATTTCTCTGTACCTCAAATCTCTCCTCCAGTTCACTAATCCGTTCTTCAACTGTGTTCAATCTGATGTTGAATCCACCCACTGAAGGATTTGCTGTGATCTTTGTTTCAGTTACTACATTTTTCATTTTTAGAAACTCTATTTAGTGCTTTATCAAGTCCTCATAGCTTTATAGTGTTTATTTTCTTAAGGCTTAGATTTCTAATTTTATGTCCTTAATAATTTTCAACATAGTGAATTTTAAAAAAGATTTTATTTATGTATTTTTAGAGAGAAGGGGGGAGAGGGAGAGAAACATTGATGGGAGAGAGAAACATTGGTTGCTCGCCTCCTGTACGTGCCCTGACCAGGGACTGAACCCACAACCCAGGCACGTGTCCTGATCAAGAATCAAACCTGTGCCCTTTAGTTTTGCAGGACAACATCCAACTAATTCAGCCACACTGGCAAGGGCAACAGTGAATTTTTACATTCTCTTTCATGTTTTATTTGTATAATCTCAACATCTAAGGGCTCTCATTGTCTTAACTGTTGTACTTTGAGTCTCACATGTGAAAAACTATTCCCTCAAGGTCTTCAGCCTTTCTTAACTACAAATTCATCATTTATTTTTTTCACTCTATTTGAGAATCCCTTGCAGCCTGGGGGCACACCTTCTGGGCTCTCCAGTCCTCCATCCTCACTTTTTTTTTCCTACCTTGAGAGTATCTTTATTTCTGTTCATTTCTTGGCTTTCAATTTACTGAACCATTTCTAAGAAGTGATCTGGAATCCCACAGACATTTGAAGCCAGGTCAGGGCTTTGACTTCTCTGGCTGAGGCAGGCAAGCTTATCACTTCCCTGGGCGGACACATCATCTCTAGTCTATCCTCTCACTGAGAGTGTGGATTTTCAAGAGTCAAGTTTTACAGAGTTCTTCGGTACAATTTCCATTATAGGTGGGCCTAGGTTGACTTATATATATAAATTTTACATACACATATATATATATATACACACACATGTATACATATATATGTATATATATATATCCATCTCTGTATTTTATATATATACATACAGGAATCCTGTATTATCCTGTTATTTTTAAGTATACTTTATTAATTATACTGTTACAATTGTCCCAATTTTTCACTTTTGCTCCCCTCCACCCAGCACCCCCCTTCACTCCAGCAATTCTCCCCTCAGTTCACGTCCGTGGGTCATGTGTGTAAATTCTTTGGCTTCTCCCTTTTCTGTACTATTCTTTACATCTGCCTGTTTATTTTGCTCCTGCCAATTATGCTTCTTAATTTCTATGCCATTTTCCCTTTTTCCCCCTTTTCTCCTTCCAGCTGATAACCCTCCAAATGATCCCCATAACTATGATTCTGTTCCTGTTCTAGTTGTTTGCTTGTGTGTTTTTGTTTTTGGTTTTGATATCCAGTTGTTGATAGTTGTGAGTTTGTTGTCATTTTAATGTTCATAGTTTTGATGTTCTTTTTCTAAAACAAGTCCCTTTAACATTCCATGTAATAATGGCTTAGTGATGATTAATTCCTTTAGCTTTACCTTGCCTGGGAAGTACTTTATCTGCCCTTTTATTCTAAATGCTAGCTTTGCTGGATAGAGTAATCTAGGTTGTATGTCCTTGCTTTTCATCACTTTGAATACTTCCTTCCAGCCCCTTCTTGCCCTCAGAGTTTCTTTTGGAAATCAACTGATAGTTTTATGGAAACTCCTTTGTAGGTAATTCTCTGCTTTTCTCTTGCTTTTAAGATTCTCTCTTTATCTTTAACCTTTGGCATTTTAATTATGATGTGTCTTGGTATGGTCTTTTTTGGGTCCAACTTGTTTGGGACTCTCTGTGCTTCCTGGACTTTGTGTCTATTTTCTTCACCAGATTAGTTCTCCAGTGAAGAAAAGTTCTCTTTCATTATTTTTTCAAATAAGTTTTCAATTTCTTGCTCTTCCTCTTCTTCTGGCACCCCTATGATTCAGACATTGATATGTTTAAAGTTGTCCCATAGGTTCCTAAGCCTCTCCTTGTTCTTTTAAATTCTTGTTTTTTCTTTCTGTTCTGGTTGAATGTTTACTTCTTCTTTTTGTTCCTAATTGTTGATTTGAATCCTGGCCTCCTCCTCTTCACTGTTGGTTCCCTGTAGATTTTTCTTTGTCTCACTTTGTGTACACTTCACTTCTTCCTTTATTTTGTGGCTGTACCGAATGACTTCTCTGAGCATGCTGACCCCCAGTGGTTTGAACTCAACATCTCACGGATTGACTATCTCCATTTCATTTAGTTCTTTTTCTGGGGTTTTGTTTATTCTTTCACTTGGGCCATATTTCTTTGTCTCCTTAATATGACAGCCTCCCCATGTTTTTTTTTTTTTCCTGTATATTAGGTAGAGCTGCTTTTACTCCCTGTCTTAGTAGCATGGCCTATATCAAAAAGGCACCTGTAAATTGTGTAAGGCAGAGCCTTAGGTAATCACCAAGGTGGAGCAACCCACTTTACTGCTTCGTGTCTCTGGGTGAGGGGAGGGGGCTCAGAGAGGGAACATCTCCACAGCCTGGCTTCTGGAGGTTTTTCTGGCACTCGCCCCGTTTGTAGTCACTTCATCCACTTCCCATATCCAACGGGCACCTTTCTAGATGCTGCCCTGGGATGTGCATAGTTTGACACCGAGTGGACCTTTTAAGTGGTGAAAACCCAGTAGTTCTTCCACTACCCCAACCCCCACTGGTTTTTACAACCAGAGGTAATGGGGGTTCATCTTCCCCGTGCTGGAACCCTGGTCTGTGTGGTCTGGCCTAGGGCTGGATGGCTCACTCCCAGGGTATCCCTCCCAGTTTTTATTTACCACATGTGAATGTGGGACTGTCCGTGCCACCACCACCTCTCCGCCCTGTCTCCGCATCTCCACCCATCTTACCTGTCTGGATGAATGTGGCTTCTGTAAATCCTTGGTTGTCAGACTTCTATACAGCTCAATTTTCTGATGGTTCTGGGTGTTTTTTTGTTTTTGAGATCTGGTTGTAATTCTTTCTATGGTTGTGCGAGGAGGCAAAGTGTGTCTACATATGCCTCCATCTTGACAGGAAATGCTGTATTGTGCTGTTTTGTTTTCTTCTTGGCAACCATAGTGCAGGGCCTCATCTGTTGTCACTGCTGATTACTGACTCTACTTGACACCTAAGGAAAGACACATTATCAACTCACTGGCTGTCATCTACAATGTTTTATCCCCTATTTTTTACTGGACTCCTGAGATTTCCCTTTCTTTTATGGGATCTCAGCTGTGCATTTAAAATAAAATTGTTAAATTATATCACACATTTCAAAGAGTTTTAATAGGGGAGGGGTTTTTTGTTGTTGTTATCTATCGTGCCAAATCAGAAACATATGGGGAGGTTTTTCAAAGTATGTTTCAAAACCCCTCTTCCTCTGCCAAAATTCTGATACAGCCCCCTAAGGAATACACAAAATTTGGGTGGAGTTGGGCTAGTAATTGAATAGAGGTGGAGATTATTCCTGTGCAATTTGAAAAACAACACATAACTCACTTCCCTAGTGTTCTGATTCAATTCCTGATGTTTTAGACTTTTGTATCCCCTAACAGTGCCTAGTGCAGTTTAAAAGATACTGGGTAAATGTATACCGAATGGATGAATGAATGAATATCAGCACACACTTTGTGATCAATGTAAAATAACAAGAATGCCTATTGTGCATGTCTGATATACAATCAAACCAGACAGTACCTGACACTACCCAACACATAGTAACTGCTAAACAAAGGTCCATTTCTCCTTACCCCGAAGTGGGAAAGAGGAGCTCACCACCACTCCAAGGGTTTTGCAGGCTCAGGTCAGACTAATTTCAGGGTGTGGACAACCTGCATTCCAGTCTTGGTCCAGGTCTCTGATGACCCCGATGGAGGTCAAGTGGGAAGCATGTGGGTTGGCCTAGTTTCCATTCTTGGATTTGGACCACAGGTGCTTGATGAATGGGCCAGTCAGCCTAGAGGACAGGCCCTAGGGGGTGTGTCAGGAATCTGTATTAGGCCCCACCTATTCATCTGTTTAAAGCTTGGCACAGAGTTGTAAAGAATCAGAAACACATTCAGTTAGCACCCAGGATGGCATCTTTTGCCCCATAAAGTCTTAGCTTTCCTTCTCCGTTCCCTACCCTCTCCTTCATTCTGTCCTCGGCCCTTTTCTGCCTCTGACTCTCTCCAGAGAGCTCCTTCTCCAGCAGAGCTGCCCACCCAAGGGGCTCCAGTGCATCCACTTGCCAGCTGTGCAGTGTGTTGCAGAGGGGCCCAGAGGCTCTTCAAAGGCCATGTGCCCAGACAGAGACTCTCCTTTCCTCCATACTCCGTCCTCCACGATTCCATCTCCAGAGTGTCACCCTGGACTCCACCTCCCCTTTTCTGCTTACTCACCATATCTCTGGGGTGGCGTCCACCTCTGGGCATCTCTGCAGTCAGGCCTCTGACAGCCACCCTCTTCATCATCACCTGTCAGCCACCATCACTGCCATCTGGATTATCACACGAGGAATGGTGGCCCCTGAGCTTGACCAGGGCCTCAGAACTGTTTTCTCTGCCTCAAACAGTTGTTTGCTTTGCTTTTGTTTTTAAATGGGCTAAGACTATAAACTAGAAGATTTCACATTAAAAAAAAGAATTCTGTCTGCCTTTGAGAAGTTTTCTGGGCCCACATACAGTTCACCCCCTTGGAAGGAACATCGGCTGCCTCTGAAGGCAGTTGTTCCCTTCAGAGAGGACAGATTAACACAGACCCTAACCCGTCTGCCTTGCCCCTAAAGGCCCTAGAGATTGAGGCTCCTATTTTTCCAGTTCATCGTCACCCTCACTGCTCCCAACAAAAATGCCAGAGGTGACCCTGCCATTTAGCACTTGTCTAAGTCCCATAGAAAAAAATCAGCCTCTTTAACCTGGCATTCAAGGTGCTTCCCCATTCTGTTACTGGAAAGGAGACCTGACCCTAAGTGAGTCTGCCTAGGGCTGGCTAGTAGTGTGTGGGTTCTTGACTTCATGCAGGAAAGATTTCACAACACAAGTCCAAGTGATTTTTAGAGGATGTGTATTAAAGCTAGGGGCAGTCAGACAAGGAAGGGTCTAGGATAGAAGCAACAGGAGAGGAACTAGGTGGAAAAATGAGCCTAGGCCGGGCTGCTTCAGCTCACTAAGAAGTCAGAGAAAAGGGGGCCTTGGGGACAGGGTCAGGGGGTTAGCCCGGGATGATCTGCCACTGCAAGTCTCATGGGGTTCCTTAAAGCTTAGGAGATGTGTACCCATGGGGAAGAAGAGGAGAGGGAAGGGAAAGGTGCAGGTGTGCTCCTGGGAAGGAGAGCGTATGCCAGAACCTTCATATTGAGGGTTTTTAAAGGCTAAGAGTTTAGGAGAAGATCTCAATAGAATACTTACCAGTTTTATGCTGATGTGCCAAAAGGAGATTTATTCCCTTAAGTGCATCTGTCCTTGAGTGTGGTTGACAAATGGCATTAATTGGATTTTTGCTATCCATCTCCCTGAGTAGGGTGATTTAAGCTAGGTACCATCTAGTTGGGGAGAAGTGCAAACCATATACTTTTAACTGTTCTCCATTAAGGAAAGATAAGACTTACTAGACAGTGGCAAACACTTGGCATTTTGATTTACTAGATGGCTGCAAACTGCTTATTTAACTACCTCAGGTTCCCTATCCTGCTTGTGCTGGCTTACTAGCCTGTCTCAATCCTCCCCATTCCATGTCTCTGGCCTCACCCCAGTTCTTTCGCTCCCCTAGAGCACCACAGCTTACTGCCTCACGTGTCTTCTCCCATCTCCCAAATGGATCCCATTTTCCCAAACCTTTCTTGCTTATAAGTTGGGCCTTCGATCCTCCTTAGTTTACATAAGAATAATTGTACAGAGCTATATACACAAAAGTGTGTACACTAATGTCCATGTAAGAAATGTCCAAACCAGTAGAAAATTTTTATGGGTTTATTTGAGCCAAACAACATATGCCAGAGAGCAAGATTTAAACTCTCCAGAGAATAGCAGTATTGCAGTTTCTTTTATGCATTTGAAATTAAGGAGAGAAGGAAGATTACATACAAGTGGGAGAAAACAAGGTAAATAATGGATTACAGGAAGTTAACAAGATTATGTGCTCTCTTTGGGGTGGTCAGTCTTTAGAAGAAGGGGTGTTTCAAAGGTGTGTTAACCCAGGACACAGAAACAATGGACAGGGCTTGGTCAAGGCAAAGATAGCCTTTTGCAAAGAAGTATGTGCCCGGGGTGAGACTGGCCACGGCGACCAGCCCAGTTAGGAATTTATTATCAGATTGCCCCGTGAGGTCACTTTCCATTTATCCTCTTTTTCATCCACATGAAGTATAGAACACTATCCAATGGGCTGTCTTGGAGGAGAGATTTTCCCCAAACTTTAGGTTTGGGGAAAATCATAGGTTAATGAGTCCCTATGCCCATCATCTACATTCAACGATAGTTACCATATGCCTATATGGGTATAGGGTTGGTTAGTTGGTAGGTTGGTTTTGCTGAATCATTTGAAATTAATTCATAAACATCATAACATTTCCCTTCTTGAGTACAGTGACTATTTTAGCATGCATCTCCTAAAAGTACATTCTCTTCAAAACACAATACTATGATCAGAGTCAAGGCAACTAACAATGAACAATTACCAGTATAATATGATCTAGTCCATAGTTTCCCCAATTGTCTCAGAAAATATTTTGTATGTTTTGTTGTTGTTTTGTTGGTCACATCAGGATCCAATGAAGACTCCTCTGCCTGTTGTGTCATTGTGTAACTGGGCAGTATGGGGTCTGGCCACTTGTCACCATGTATATGCACAACATGATTTGTGGGGTAGGAAATAGGTTTTGATTAACAGAGCCCCCAGTTTGAGGGGGCTGGGAGCATTCCTGTTCTGAGCCCTTCTCTTCTGCAAGAAACAGAACCTCCCTTGCTCCTAAAAAGACTGCAATCCAAAGCCATGCCCAGAAGTTCCATATTATTGCTCATCTGTCCTTTTGGAGCTTAAGCTGGCCATGCAGACAGATCTCTATCCTCTCTGGGGTGTGCATTTGTGGGTTTCAGAGTCACCATCATCTCACAGCAGCTCACGCTCATGCTTTCTCTCTCTCTCTCTCAGGTTCTCAGGTGCACTGCCAGAACACTCCAGACAGTTGTGCAGTGGAAACCATCTGCAAGGAACTTTCCAGCTCACGCCTCCATATGCTGCTCTCAGACCAAAAAGAGTGGAAGCAGTCCAGGACCTGTGTGCCATGTTGTACTGTGTCATAGTGTCCCAAGGGCTGGTGCCCAGCGAGGCATACATGCCAGTGTGTGACCCTGCCTTCGGGAGCTGGCTTCCAACCCTGTGAGGCCTAAGCCCTGAGCAGCCCTGGGGTCTGCCACTCCTGCCCATGCAGAGTGAAACAAGAGCACGGGAAGTCAAAAGGCCAAGCAGCCAAGCAGCCAAGGGCCAAGAAAGTGGGCTTCTGTCCACCTTCTGTTTAAAAGCCCTCTCGCAGAATCCCGGGTTCTCCGGAAGCCAAAGGGAGCGTTCAGCTTTTCAACCAATGAGAGTTAACGTTGGCTGCGTTTGCCTTGCCCCTCTTCCGGCCTCCGTGTTGCCGAGGCAGGCAGTCTCCAGGCAGTCTGGGGTCAGGCTAGTTTTGTACAAGCTGCCTTTTGCAGAGTCACAACTCCACGCCTACCTCAGGCAGTGTCCCTGCTCCTCGGCCCCTCCCTTCACTGGAAGGGGAAACTGCTCTTGATCTTCGGCTCTGCCGGGGGTTCTCCCTGCCCTTTACCTTCTCCAACAATTTGGCCTCACCTGTTCGTCACAGTCGCCTCCACCAATCCTTTATCCCTTTTTTTTTTAAAGCATCCAGGCCAGGTGTCTCACATAAAGTCCCACCTTCTGGATTTGTCACATTTTCTTGAGTTGTCATTTAACACACTCCTCCATCCCCTATATTTCCTGTAACTGGGTAGAGAAGTTAATGTAACTGCTCGTCTGGGATCAGATTAGACGTTTTGACGAGAGCATCTCTTAGGTAGTGCAGTTTACATAGGGGAAAGAAGTTTGATTTCGTCTCTGAGTTCAGACTGATTATCTGGAACAACCTGGTGAGCATTAC